TGTTGTTCCTGTGAGCATGGGGCTCTGCCACTGGGGGTCCCAGAGACCCTCAGCATGCTGCATGTGTGACTGAACCCGTGGGACAGCCACGGCTGGGTGCTGCCCTGGGGCAGGGGGATCTCTGGCAGGGCTGGGAGCTCTCCACCCCACTCAATTGCCATGTCCCCTCACAGGTGAGGAGTACCGGCCCCTGCTCCCCTCCCGGGAGACCTCCCTGCGCATCCTCACCACTGCCCTCAGCCCCTTGGACTATCGCAAGTGGAGGAGGAAGCCTTGGTACTGGCGGCTCCTCAAGGCCTTCAAGGTGAGTGGGGGGATAGGAGCCAGGAGGAGGTCCCCACAAGGCATCCCTGTCTCTGCTGGCCCCTGGGGTTGTCACCCTGGGCTTTGCAATGGGAATAGTGGGACAAAGGCAGGTAGGTTGGGGATGTGTCATGGGGTACCTCCTGGGGTGTCCCAGCTTGGGGATCCCCATCCCCACTACTGGCTGCTCCTCCCAGATGCCTGTGGAGCTAGTGCTGCTTCTCACTGTTCCCATCGTGGACCCTGACAAGGACGACCTGAACTGGAAGAGACCTCTTAACTGCCTGCACATCCTCACCAGCCCCCTGCTCTGCATCCTCACCCTGAAGTCGGGTGCCTGTAAGAGCCTGGGGCAGCCCCAGCACCCAAGAAGGGATGGGACTGAGATGGCCACCAAAGCTCTGGAGAGTGTAGGAGCCCTGTGGAGCTGATTCCCTGTTCTGGGGAGGGAGGATGGGCAGTGAAGAGACAAACTGGAGACCTAGTTTGCAGCTGATTTGCAGTTGGATGCACTCTCACAGGGGTGGGGGTTTGGGTTCCCCAGCATCCAGGGCCTGGGGGGGAAATGGGGCAGGCCTGGTCTGCCTGGGGAAACTGAGGCACTGAAGGGAGAAGCCGTATTGTGAGGGCTTTGGGTAGTCAGTGGCTTTAGGGTACAAGGCTTTACCTCCTACCTTGAGCCTGGTCCGATCCTGCCCCAGCCACTCTGATGTCTCCTGTCCCCATCACATGCAGATGGGCTGTACCAGATCCAGGGCATCTTCCCAGTCTGGGGACTGGTCACACTGTTTGGCTCTCTCCTGGCCATCATCATCTTCATCACCACAAGCAACGAGGAGCCACCCAAGTATCACTGTGTAAGGTTCCCCCAGCCCTGAATGCCCACACTGGGGATCAGCCCAACCTGCTCCAGACTAGGCTGGGGGTCCTGGGGGCAGAGCAGGAGCTAGGACCTTCTTCCTGGTCCCTGATGTCCCCAGAAGATCCCAGCCTGCCTGGCTGTGCAGGATCCCATGGGATGCACCCAGGGACCAGGTTACTTCTCTTCTGGCAGGTATTTGCCTTCCTTGGGTTTTTGGCCAGTGCCATGTGGATCAATGCTGCGGCCACAGAGCTGGTGAACATTCTGAGGACCCTTGGCATCATCTTCCAGCTGAGCAACACCGTGCTGGGCTTGACACTACTGGCCTGGGGCAACAGCATCGGTGGTGAGGGCTCTGCTGTGCCCCAGTGCCGTCCTAAGTGCACCCTGGGGTGCCCCTGTGATCCCCCAAGGTCTCCTTTTCTCCTTCTGCAGACACCTTCTCTGACCTCACCATGGCACGGCAGGGCTATCCCCGCATGGCCTTCTCCGCCTGCTTCGGGGGCATCATCTTCAGTATCCTTTGGGTCGCTGGGCAAGGGCTGCCTCAGTTTCCCTGCTTATATCCCAGGGAAAGCCCCTGGTCCTGCAGGATCCATCCCAGAGTCCCTGCAGTGTTAGCAACCTCCCTGGTGTCCTCATGGTGCAGGGGAACTGGTGAGATGGTTGTGAGCTGCAGGGATGGAGCCAGCATAACCCCACTTTGTCTCCATGGCTGTTCCAGTCCCAGCACGGTGGGAGTTTGGACTGGAATGTGGCAGATTTGGGACCTGGCAAAGGGAAGGAGGGGAAGAGGCTGCCTTCCTCCAGTACCTCCTCATACCTGGCTGAAGCCTCTTCTCCAGTGCTCAAGGTTGTGTTTACCACAAGGGAATACTTTGGGCCAGGCAACAGTCATGGGGTGCAGGAAGAAGGAGGAGGAGAAGGAAGACCAATGCTGTCCCCCTCCATGGGGCGGGAGGGATGTGGTTAGTGCTCCTGAGGTTTCCTGTGCTGTGTGTCCATCCTGAACGTGCCCCAGATATTCTGGTGGGTGTGGGACTTGGCTGCCTGCTGCAGATGACCAGTGGCCAGCTGGTGGTGAAGGTAAGGCAGCAGTGACATGGGGCGGGCACAGGTCAGGGTGGCAGTAGGACTCTGGTGTCACCCCACATCCTTCCCCTTCTCTCTGGCAGCTGGAGCCTGACAGCGTCCTGGTCTGGGTCCTGGCTGGGGCCCTGGGGCTGAGCCTGGTCTTCTCCTTCGTGTCAGTGCCAGTGCAGTGCTTCCAGCTGGGCAAGGCCTATGGCATCTGCCTTATCACCTACTACCTGGTCTTCCTCTGTGTGGCCCTGCTCACCGAGTTCAGGGTGATCCATCTCTCCACCCTGTGAGTGGCCCCAGATCATATCCGTTCCTGGATTTCACTCCCTCCCCACTGGATCAGGGCCTCGCTGTCCTCTTCCCTGTCCCTGCCAGGGGGACCAGGGCACCCTGACCCCAGTCGTGCTGCTGGAGGTGTCAGCCCAGTCCGCAGCCCTCCCTCTTTGGAGGGATTGGCTGTGCTTTGGGGAAGGAGCAACTGGAGTCATTAGCCACATCCTCTTCTTGCTCTGTTTAATCTGTGCAACTCAAGGCAGCTCTGGGCAGGAGTGAGGTTGAGACTTTAGCTACCTCCAGTCCCAGAGGCAGAGGATGGGGCATCTCTGGCTTAGGGGCACAAGAGGAGAGGCTTTACCTTCCCTACCATTGCACCTGCCCCTTTCTTCACCTCCACCCAGCTGCTCTGGGACAGGGCTGGGGCAGTCATACTACATGGGGTGACTCTGCTAAGGTCCAAGCACACATTTGTCCTAGTGAAGGACACACCGTGCTGGCACTGTGGGGCTGAAAGAGCACCTGGGGCAGAGACAGCTGGGGTGAAGGAGACAATGCTCCAGGGCCATGCTGGGTTTTGTACAAGCAAAGCCTGAGGAAAAACAAACACCAAACCAAGGGAGGCTGGTTTCCCTTACTTTTTTTAGTTATGTTTTTCAACCTGAGTTTAAAATGCTACTTTCTTCTTCCTCCTGGGGTGAGCTGAGCTGCAGAAAAGGTCTTGCAGATTTCCACCCATAGTGTTAGCCTCTGGCAGGAGTAGTTTTAGGCACTGTAAAAAAATTTGCAATAAAAAACCCAAACAAACCCAACCTTGACTTTTGTTTGCTGTGAGGGTGATTTCTTCTGCTCTGTGCTGCTGTGACGCACAGCCAGGGCTGAGCCAGCAGCAGCTGAGGGGCCAGGAGTGACACTGGATCACCCAGGGCAGTTTGCCCCAGGGGCTGAGGAAGTGGTTTCTGCTGGGTTCACCAAGCAGCGGATGTCCCAGCAGCAGTCACATGTGTCACAGTCACAGCACGGGTGGTGAGGAGCACTGCTCAGCCCATGAGGACAGGAACACTGGTGAGGCTGCCCAGAGTCCCAGGGAAAAGCCCATGGTCCCAGGGGAGTGGAGTGGGTGGGCTGGTGCTTCTGCTCCCACCCAGTCAGAGGGTGTGCAGGACACAGGCTGGAAGGCAGAGTGCTGTTACAGAGAAGAGCCACATTGCTCCCCATGGCAGAAAGGGCTGTTGTGCAAGCAACACAACCGCTGGACCTGGTTCCCTCTCCCTTCTGGGACTGTCAACAGCCTCCCAGAGCATTTCTCCTTTTTCTAACCATGGGTTTCACAAAAAATAACGCTCCCTGTGCCTGCAGCTATTGGCTCTGCCCAGAATCTTCTCACGTTACCAGCAGCTGCCGGAATTGTCTGGGACACAACCCCCCACTTCCTTCCACACAGCAGGGCTAAAGCAATCAAAACCGCAGCCACCGTACCAAAACAGAGGCACAGGGGCAAACACTCCTGACCTTAACCCTGCTTTGGGGTGGCTTTAAATAACAAGTTTGAAAGCATTCTCTTAATGTTTAGGGAAAAACCTGGCAGAGGGGAAGTTTAGGCTTTGCAGTGTCCTGGAGCAGGAATTCAGAGCAGCTCAGCAGGGCATACACGCAAAACATTCCCAACACAAGCACTTGCCACTGGAGAGGGCAGGCAGTGTTCCTCTTCAAACTCTGGAAGTACTTCAGCTTGGCCCAACCCCACCCTCTGGAATAACACGGGAAGGAGGAAAGGAAGCTGCTGCCTTTACAAAGCCGAGGATGCTTTTTATTAGTGCGCTTGAAAAAATCTAGAGAACATTTGACAGACATGTCCATAAAATCGTTTTTATAAACAAAACACCATACAAAATCCTGCAGTGCTTCCTCCCGTGCTCCCTACAAAATGATTGTCTCCATCGTTAGTCTGTGTGTCGGGGAGGGGTGGGGGGAGAGGAGGATAAATAGAAGGGGATGCCCCGTACTCAAACTTTGTTTCCTTCCAAAGTCATATGGAAGAAGCAAACTCCTGCCACCCTCCTTGGTTTACAAAAATAATGAACACAGTGGGGGCAGATCAACACCTCGGCATGAAGCCACAGTGGCAGCACCTGTGCCCTGACCCCCAGCCCAAAGCCCTCCAGAGTGCCCTGTTATTGCATAGCAGGTCAGTGCTCCCCTCAGTACAGCTTAAAGCCACAGCTCCCTTCACACCCAGGAAACACTTCAAAAAAGTCACTTGACAGCCCTGCCAGGAGAAATAGGCTGTAGGGGAATGTGGAGATTAAACACAGCCACATTTTTTCCTCCCTAACTTTCACAATGCTCATTCATCCTGCACACAACTTAAAACTCAATAAACACCATCTCCTGCAGCCCCAGGACTAATCTGGATAAACCTCCCAGGCTGTGACTCCAGACTGTGAGAGCAACAACTGCACTGCTCCTTAATTTGTGGTCAAAATTATGGTTTGGAAAACAGCCCTTTAAGGTCCTTCACGGTTCAGCTCAGAAGTAGTTTCATACCTGCAAGTATCCAGAAAGGAAACAAAGAGTTGTCCTGAGGCACCCAGGGAATTTGGCAAGGGTTGGGAGCAGCCTCTGGTGTTTGTGCTGCCTGGCCAGCTGCTCACCCACTCCTTCCATCCTGTAGCCCAAATGCTCCCACTGTGCTATGCAGGGAGAGGTTTCCAGAAGCAGATCTGTCTTGCCTACTTCTTAAAGTCTCATCCATCCATAAAATGCTGAGCTGCCCAGGTAGGATTAGCCCTCTCCTGTTGTCCTTGTGCCACATGGTGAGGCTACCAAGGAAAAGACAGGGATGTGGGATAAAGGGAATGGGAACACAGATCTCCCACTGCCTGATGTACCTGATGGAAGGAGAAAGCCTCTCCAGCAAACTCTGCTCTTAGTCAAAACCTGAGGAAAGATCAAACAGTAAGAGGTGAGTAGAACCTCTCAGCTGACAGGTACTTCTAGCCCTCAGCATTTTGTGCTGACAGGGAAAGGAGGGACTTGAAGAGACAGGTTCAAATGAAACATGAGCGATGATGCAACCTGCCATGATCACAGAACAAATGTGGCAGAGCTGGAAAGGGATCCCTTTTCGCCTTCCTCCCCATCCCTCAGCTACCAGGTCTGGCAGCTTCCCTGCCAGCTGCAGAAAAGCAGACAGGTGAGAAGAGTCATAGTCTTCCACATTCCTCCTGTATCCAAAATCCAGGGGAACGGTAAAGCTCTTCAGTGGATTTTCCCAAGATCCGACTCAGTCCGTGTTTGCCAACCTGAGGAACATTTCTGCAAGGGTGAGAGCCACACTGCTGTGCTGGGACTCACCTGTACAGAGCAATCCCTGGGCTGAGGATTAACCAGCAGGACTATTTGATTCCCATGAGCAGTCCCTAACCCAGAGCCAGGCAGAGAAAAGCCAGACTGAGCTGCAAAACCTTCCATTCTTCCTCCTAGTCATTGATCTGAGCTAAGGACCAGCCAGAGGTTTGCCCTTTGCAGAGCAGGTGGCCAAGTGGCAGAGGCCAACAGCCATGTCATGCTGCAGAATCCTCCTCCCTGAACAGGGACAGGAGATTTGGGGTTTGCAGAGGTGACCCCAACCCCAGGCAGTGCCATGGGCAGGACTGACCAGCAGCAATGCAGATACTGGATAGTTACAGCAGAGACAGGGTTCATGTCCCTAAACTCCTGTCCCACCTATGGTCATAACATGATGAGGTGCTGGCCCTCCGTTCTGCCTCAGAACTGTTCAAGGACAGCTAAATTCAATAATCAGAGCTGGAGCGACTACAGGGAGTGCATCTAGGTGTGCTAAAAAGGAGGGGGAAGGCAGTCTGCTCTTCCAAAAGTGCTGAGATTTCACACCACCTCCCCTTTCTTTGCATAGGGAAGGCGGAGAAGAAAAACTCATTCCCTGATCTTTTATTCCTAGGTTTATGGTACCCTTTAAGCAAAAGGGATCTTCAAAAAGGGCCAAAGTTTTAATATTAAGCAGGTGGCTCTGGCAAATTCCCTGCTGTTAATGGATTACACATCCCTTTCCCCAAGGTCTGTTAGTGGTAAGACAAGCAGCAGGCTGCAGCCTGGGAAGTGGCTCAGAGGGACAAGGTCTCTGCTCTGTCTGAGATGTTCACTCTGTGCTGAGCATGGCCAACATGCTCCACCTGTGTGTAGCATCCTTACACAGAGTCCCCTCTGGGTTTTCACCCACTGCTGGGGAAGAGATTCGAACCCTAAAACACTGACAGATCTATATACATCTTCCCAAAATATACGCTGTGAAGGAATACTCTAGGTTATTGCATAGAAGGCGGCTCGCGTCAGCTAGGCCTAAATGACAGTCTGGGAGCGTTGTCGGAGGTTCAGGGGCTTCAGAGAGCTGGTGGAAGCAGATGCAGGCTCCTGCAATGGTGTCTGCGATTCCTCTTTTCTGGAGTGCTCCTCATACCATTCCTGCAACCGGAGATCAAACACACAGGGATCAGGCTCTGCCCCACATTGGCCTCATAACCCCTGAAGAGCCTTCAGTCACTCTGCCATGTGAGGGCACATTTGTTCAGGCATAGAGGGCTCTTTCCAGAGCCCTGGTTACAGTCTAAACTCCTGGAACAACCCAGCTGACTGCAGCATGAATGTGATGGATGCAGCAAGCAAACCAAAGCAAGGAAACATCCCTCTCTCAGGACATCCCTCCTGAGTGTCTAGGGCTCTAGGATCGATGTCCCCATGATGTTTGGGATTCGCAGAGCTGCTCCTCATCCTGGGCAGCACCCAGGGTGTTACAGTATGTCACATCCCTGAATCAGAGACAAGCAGATCAGGCAGGGAGATTCTCTGCAGATCACCCAGCTCCATGGTAAACATGTTCATTTTCCTTAGGGAGACTGAAGACAACCCCAGGCTGTCTTGTCCCAGGGACAAAGGACAGATTCAAATGGTTACAAGATTAATTCTTTCAGTACTAATCATTACATTAGCCCATGACCTTCAACTACCTTTGGCAGGACACTGCCCAAATCCATGGCAGACAGCTCCTGATCATGGAGGGCACTAGCAGGAAGGTGCTATACAATCTAGATAATCAGCTGTCTATTTGTTTCCCACAGCTCAGGCAGCTATTCTGGAGGCAAACCAGGCAGCAGTGCCCACATTATGCACTGCCTGGGAGAACCCTTGGCTTCTGTGTCAGACAGACACGCCTAAGCCCAAACATAACCACATTCCAGAGGTTTAACAACCCTGTGCTCAGCAGTCAAGCCCCAGGCAGCACCACGCATGTGCTCACAGCCCCAGCAGACAGCTGGGGAGCTCAGGTAAGCTCAGCCAACTGAGATGCCTACGCAGTCACCAAGCATGGGGTGACTTGGCTGACTCACCTGCACAGCTGAGCACCTGGACCCACTGAGGAGGCTCTGACATGCTCTGTGGTTTACCAAAGGCCCTCAGTGCAAGAATAGATCTATCTGAGCTAGAATTCATAGATTCCTAGCCTTCTCACAGCCTGGTTCTCGGAGGAAGGCAGTCTCCAGTGTTTAAAAGGATGGTTTGTTATTCTAGGCAATGTTCTGCTCACCACAGAGACTTGCTGATATCTCCAGTTCAGGCCCACATACCTGTATCTCCTCCTCATACATCTTCATACTCAAATCACTCTTGGTCCTTGATCTGCGTCCCAGAAACACGGTTGACATTTGCTACAGTGTTGGGGGAAGGAGGAGGAAAAAAAAAAACCAACAAAAAAAGACATTAATCAGTCACTGAGCAGCTCATAGGATCAGTACTGGAACTTCAGGTATCGTTCATGTGGACACCCATCATCCACTCAGGCTATTCTGGACTCCTTTTTGTCATGGAGAAAAGGCATTTTAGGTGCTGCACATCACCTAAACAAATGCAGACAGCAACTGCAGCCAAGACAAATCATGCTGAGCAGATCCCCAAAGACTACAGATAGTGATGTAGCTCAGATAAGATTTGTCTGTCCGTGGTGCTTAATTTAGCCAGATGAATATGGTATCAGTGCCTGGAACAAGGCGGGAACCCAAGCTTCCCATTAACATCTCATCTAAGAACAATTTCAGGTCCCACTTGCCTAGATCACAGCATTTGCTACATTGGGCTGGACCCCTGAAATCATGTAAGCAGAGAACTGAAGTCACATGAATTATACGAATAGGATTGAGCAGCAAAAGAAACCTCAGGTCTGGCATCATCACTGCAAGGCTGTGGATGACCTCCTCCTTCATGGTCTTGAAATTTGCTTCTGACCAGTATCTCCATCTCTATTCTGAGTTCTGTCTGTCAACAAGGGCTCAGCCTGTAACTACCAAGCCAACCAAAGCAAATAAAGGTCACCTGAGAGGCTGCAACACCTGCCCTTTGCCATGGTGATACAGGAATCTAACGGCTATTATTAAAACCACTTAAGCTCTTCTCAGATGCATGAGACAACAGTTCTGAGATAAGAGCTCATTTTCCCAATTGTTCATCCTGCAGTGCCATGGAGAAAGAAGGACCTGGAATCGATACCATCATATTGCTGCATAATGCTCCAGCACTGTACAAGCCAAAGTGCATGATGGCACAGAGAGAAAGAGAGGCAGGAGAATTACAAGACTATTGCTTCCTCAGATGAAAAATAAATATACCTTTTTCCAGTCAGCTCTAAGGGAAGTTTGCAGACAACAGGGAGGAGCCAGCACAGTCAAGGCTGTTCAAAGAGCTGGGGAAACTCAGCTGCTCCTTTTCTAGAGCAGCAACAATTTGTGATGCTGCAGAGTCCTTCCAGTAGCTCAGCTCTCAACACCACAAATGCACATGCACTTTCTGTTTTCAATCAGCAAAAGGCATTTGTGGCCCTGGCACACCTCCCTCCCCTGGTGCTGAGAACTTGCAGTATTTCCTCTTACCCCATATTTGTCCATCTGCAAAACGATCTTCTGCAGCTGAGCTGTTTCTGCGGCAGCTGAATTCCTCTTGTACAGCTCGATTATGCCAACCACTTCCTCCTTGGAGATCTCCTTCTCTAGCACAATGCCATTATCTTCTGGAGAGACAAAAACCAGAAAAAAAGTCTTCAAGATGAGCATTGCATCATTAGCTGCTCTGATAACCCTGGAAGGCAAAGCTTAAAGCACACAGGACTAAGCCAGAGGTCAGGCACAGTCTGTACCTGCCTTTGTAACTAGAACATCTATGTCCCTGTCCCCCCAAGAAGGCAGGGAAGAAGTTAACTAGTGTGTAGGGCCAGCAAACTTTCTGGCCCAAACTATTCTCTCAACTTTTAAAAACATCAAGCTCATCAGTAATGTAAAACCCACAAATCATCTATTTCTTTGCTGGCAAATAACCACACAAAAATATCTGTCTCTACTGGCCAATCCCATTTTCTGCTCCAGACATAAGGCACCAGGGAGAGAAGACACAACATTGTAGGTCACCCAGCCCTGAGTTCTGACCTTCTGAATCTTGGTTCTTCCGAGTGTAGTTCATGCGGAAGACAAAAGCATCCAAAATAAAAGCCACGATGATTGTCATCACCACCTGGGAGAGGACATGAACAGAAGAGGATCAGGAGGCTGCTGCTGGGGCCTTCTTCCAGCCCAATTCAATGAGACACTGAGCATTTGGTCTGTGCTTCAACTCCGTGTTCCCCCATGGCAGAGGGGCCACACATGTCACACATCCCCCTGTGAGGAAACTGCTAAAAGTCAACCTCAATGGGGACAGAACAGAACTCCTGTGGTGCTCTGGTCCCTATCCCAGGCTCAGACCTGTGCAGCATCAGCTTTGTCAGTGCACAGAAATTCAAGTTTCTGCAAGTGATGTGGACTTAGACCTGTTTCTGGAAGATGTTTATGTAGAAGAGAAAAGCTGTCCTCATGCAGGGATGGAAGCTTCCTCTGGAACACAGTAAAACCTCCCCTCCTCATCCCTACTAGCTGATACATGAAGCATGTCCAGACACCTACCATGGTCACAATATAGAAGATCATGAAGTAAAGACGGCTCCAGTGAGTAGTTTGGGATGTCACCCCTTCCTAAAGAGGGGAGGGAAGAAGTCAGCAGTGCACAAAAGAAGGGAGAGTCACTGTTAGCTGCTTGCCAACAGGCATAAAGCAGCAGAGACACTCTCTCATTTGTGGTTCCAGTTGGCCTCAGGTATTGCCTGTGCAATGCTCAATGCCCCAACTGGTCCTCGGAGCTAAGCTGTCCCTCAAGCTAAAAACTGAGGCTCCTACATGCAAACACACAGAATATTCAAAGTTTGTAGTTGTGAGAGCCATTATGCCATGAGAACACAGATTGGACATCAGGGTGACAAGCTGGAACACAGAGTGACTTCATTTGTCCAGACTAAAATCTGGCCTGAAGGCTCACAAGAAAATGAGCCCAGCAGCATGCCAGAGGTCAAATGCCACCCAACAATCAGGACCAAAAGGTGTCCGGCAACAAGAAGTGACAATGTTGGGCCCATTCCAATCACCATGGGAAGAAAGCAGTGGTGGTGTGGAAGATCTAGCTGAACTGGCAGAGTCTCTGCTGTCTGGACACACAGGGCAGCTGAGGTTCACTCACCATGATGATGTACCAGTCATTGACAACTGTCAGCTCAAACAATGTGACTGTACAAAAGAGAGAAAACATACAGAGAGTTGCTTGATCCATCCTGACCCATTTTACAGTGATTTTTAGGCACCAAAGTTTCAATACAGCCAGTAAATCTGGAGTCAGAACACAGACTCTCACCACTGCAATGACTTCAGACCAAGGGGATCAAACCCACAGAACCTGCAGCATGGCTTCATCTGTATTTCTTAAAGGAATCATAAGCAGACTTGACTTTCTTCACCAGAGAGCATGGAGACCTCTGAAATCTCCAGGAGATAAGCATTATGCTCACACATTAAGAAAAATCATGGAGAGTAATCAACACATTCAAATTGTTCTCCATCAGTGGGTTTAATGAAATGTATCAGTATCACTGTTGGTTCTTTAGAAGGGCAGTGACTTAAAGCCCTCCTTAAACACCTTTGGAAGTCTGGTCTGATCTCATCACATCAGCCAGAACAGATCTGATGACTTCATGCTGGCTTTTAAGAGACATCTGCTTACCTTGCAAAACGGTCATGGCACAATTAGTCAGCTGGAGTTCTCCAGACAGAAAGAGCAAGATGCTGAGTGTTTGAGGTGCATTAGTAGCACTCCCTGGGAGAGTCCCATGCTCACAGGAGCATTACAGCATTACAGAGCCATCCCACTTTGCAGGAACACAGAATAGTCTTTGCTATGGATAAAGTGCCCTTACCAAAGCTGTTCAAAATGTTGTCAAAGTTGTTGAGATAGTAGTAACCTTCCTCCACAACTGTCTTGTTGCCAACTGTGTGATTCACCCAGCGGTAGGAATCTGCAACGGTGCTTGTGCTGGTTGGAGAAACCAGGACAAAGAATCAGCAGAGACTGGAAAAGCAAGGAAAATCTCAAGGGTTATAAATACCAAAGCCCCTAGAAGGTATTGAGCAGGATGGCAGTTTCTACCTCTGGCCAACACTTGCGTTTTCCTCTGAAAGAAAACCATTCTCCTTCACAGCTCAGCACAAGCCCAAGGAGCACATGGAGCATTTGTAAATATTCGGCAAATATTATACCAGAGAAACTGAGAGTTCGAGTTAGACTCCTTGGCTCACATCCTTAAAGCTTGGTCTGCCATCATTTAAGATGAAAGGAGCATAGAACAGCTTAGCTTTCAAGAACAGGTGAATTTATCTTGATACAAAGGGAGGTCTGAATATCTAATACCCCTGGACAAGCAATTTTGGCACCACAGAAACATAGAATGATTGAGGCGGGAAGGGACCTTAAAGATCATCTACTGCTAAGCCCTCTACAATGCACAGGGACACCTCCCACTAGACCAGGTTGTTCAGAGCCCTGTCCAGCCTGGCCTTAAACACTTCCAGGGATGGGACAAAAGATGTGAAGTGTCTCCTGGATTTTTGCCACCTGTTGCCTTAGCTACAAAACCCCATTCAACCCCTCTGGCCCCTTTTCCACGGGGAAATAGAGCTGCCAGAGCTCACTGCTGCTGGCTGAGCACCAAAACCACTGCTGGGGGGGATGGATTTGGGGTACTCACTTGCAGCAGTTTGGGTAGACCACGCCAGCAAAGAACTCCATGCCAACAATGGCAAAGCAATAGTAGAAGATCAGCAGGGTTAAACCCAGGCTGGAGACAAAAACAGAAAGAGTACTGTGCTACTGAAGAGTTTCTAAGGCAGAGAAACACAAAATCCCAGGCTGGTTGCTCTGGAAGGAATTTCCAACGGATGGGAAGCAGCACTGAAAACCCCAGGCCACCCTCCCTGCTGCTGTGGCTCTGCAGTTCTTTGCCCACTCTCATTCAGTAAGTCCTTGGACAAGGAGCTTGCCACTCGCTGAAGAGAGAAACTAAAGAGTAGCCTGGAATCCCTCCCAGTCTGTCCTTTTCTGTTAAACAAATGTCTCTCCACAGTTTCTTTATTAAAGAACACCACACACTGTTTCTGCCCTCTCCACATCCTTGGATGCAGGGAATGTGCCAAGAGCAGAGCTCTCTAGCCAACACACTCTGCTCAGACCTCCTGCAAGGCAATCAGGGCCGAGGATGCCCCACTAAAACACCAAGTTACTTTGCCCCACCTTTCAATAATGCTCTCAAGTAGCTCTACTGAGGACAGGGAAACATCTGGGGCTGAGTATATTTGTGCCAATGTTCCTCCCAAATGTGTCTCCCCTCTTAGCAAGAGCTGGGATGGGGGAGAAAAATTGAAACAAGCATTGACTCTTAGTTATCCTCCTAACACAAAAGTGGGAGGAGGCCCAGGGTGCTGGAGTGCTGCTTATCATCTACTGCTCCAAGAAACTGGAAGATTAACACTCCACTGCAGCACAGTGAAAAATCAGTAATAACCTACTGACAGATCAGAGCATAAAACCCTTTAGCAGGTTTGACAGGGCCTTATCCTGACCCCAGCCCTGGACACTAAACCTTCACTGCCCTCTCCCCACCATCACCCACAGAGAAGAAGTTGGTACCTGGCCATGCGGGGAAACAACTCAAACATTGTGTCCAGGACGTTTCTGTAGCGTTTCTTCAATTTAAATAGCCTGAAAGGAGAGGTCAGGAGTTACTCATACACTGCAGCTTTCCTGGTGTTGGGGGGAACAGTTAAAGGGAGAATCCCAACTTTCTGTACCTCCCAGGTCAATAAGGTTTCCTAACACCAAACTCACAGGTTCTGCTCTTGCTCAAGGGGTCTCTGCTCACCTAACAATGTCCTACTGTCCCATCTGAATGTTTACGACACATTCAGCTAAGTGTTTATAGGATTGAGGGTCTCAAGAAAAGAAGTCTATGTCTTTTTACACAGCACAATGCATAAACAGCTATTTAAATCCTTCAAACTAGTCCTGTGTACAGGGTCAGGATTCATTCCTCCTTCCCTCAGACACAAGCTTTTCTGTGTTTCCCCCATGACCCAATAAAAACTGATGAAAGAAAACTACATTGTGCCTGCTAATTTAAGATTTGGCAACTCCATCAGCCTTTACAGAGAAACACAGCTGCCAAACACAGGCTTTGGCAGGGGAGGAACAGGGAAAACATTATTTTTTTTCCCCCTTGAGTGTCATAAAGTGTTCTTTAAATCCTCACTGAAGAGCTAAATTACATTAGCTTGTTTTTAACAAAACATTTGGCCTCAAATCCCTTCCTCCTATGGCTCTCAAGGCGTTTGTGAAGGTGAATGTACCTCGAAATGAGAGGGTTAATCAGCCCCAGCTCACTGAGCTGCAGAGAGGTTACAGGCCATGGTCTTGCTTAAAGTGTGAGATGCAGTCAGAGCAGGGCTGCACTTCACCCTAGAAAGCAGCATCCTTTGAAAACTGTAATTTCTGGTAATTCAATGGAAATTATTAAACTGGCTCAGACCGTCTCACCCTGACAGAAGAGCTTTTCTCTGAACAGCATCAGACAATTTAGAGGAGGTGTAAGAACCCCACGAAGGCAGACACAGGATAATCTGCCCCCAGTAAATCCCTTGATCTCTATTAGAGATCAGCTTAAGCTCCAAAGCACAGGGTTTCATATCCCATCCCAAGTTTTTGTTATCATTCATTTTGATAACTCTGGCTAATCTCATTACCCCACGCAATTCCTGTTTGCCATGGTCACATACCCACAGAGCAATCCTTGCCCTCTCCTGGTAAGGAGCTTGGTCCCCAATGGGATTGATGGAAAACAAGCCTGCCTGTTTTCTCCCACCTGCTCTGTGGATTCCCCCCTCAGCCTTCCCACCTCACCTCAGCAGCTGGAGGGGTCGCAGGACCACAATGAAGTAGAATGGCTCCATGTTAAATGCCAGTGCCATGAGCCCCAAAAATGCAAACAGGGTGACTGAGAAGTCAAAGCTGGAAAGAAAAATAAAATAAAATAAAATAAGGGCAATGATTTATCACTAGTGTTTCTGCAGAGAAGAGGTATTGGTGCTGCTCCAGCCAAACGAGATGCACGAGACCAAGGGCAGAATGATAATAACCTGCTGATGGCCTTATCTACAGGCTTAAAAACTCATCTCAGAAGTTGGTCTATGTAACCCAAAAGCATGAGTGTGCACTTACAGATTCCATCCTGAGGACAGGTACTCCACAGGCCCCAGCCCAGTGGTCTTCAGGAGCAGCTCCACACCATAGACTGTAAGACAAGGACACAGCCACGGTCAGGAATGAGCAGCATCACAGAGAGGGCTCATGTGAAGGTTTGTCCTCATGGGTGTGTGGTGGTTTTAGTACAGGACTTCTCAACAGAGCTTTAACAGCTCCCCAAACATCCTCCTTATTCTCAGTGAGATGCCAGAGAGACATGTCCCCTCCAAATCAACATATTTTCCTGTATTTGTGGTGATTTCTCTCCAGCACAGTCTACCAAACACTTAGCTGGCTAACATGCTATAAATGTTGAGGGACAAGACCCTATAGGAAAGGTCAGAAAGTATTGTAGGGAATTCAGTCCTGCCTGTTTATTTCCTTTTATCTCAGTGGAACATATCCACATCCCATAGCCTACCTGTGACCTGCAGGGAGAGATCCTTTCAAGGAAGAATCCTATACTTTCACCCTGTGTCCTAGCAGCACTGCATGGGGCCTGTAGGTTAAAGAACACCATCATAACAAGATGATGCCCTGTACATCATCCCAAAATCTTTCTTTTCAGGTTCCAAGGAGGGGGGACTGGGAGAGAAGCAAAGAGAAGAGCTGGATGACAACATCCTTGTGAAAAGAGGAATTGCAGAGTACCTCTGCTTTCAAACTTCTGTAACAAGTGCTTTAAAGACTAATGGCCAGGGAAGCACTAGATCTATCCAACAGTCAAATAAGAGGTATCAACCTCCCAGAGAACCTTCTGCTGCACTACTAGACAGTATTTCGATTCAGTGGAGCTATACTTTGTTTCTCTTTGAGTAAGAGACACTGACAAAAGGGAAGGGAATTGTGCAGTGAACCAGCACATGAAGATGTTTATACCTGGGCTGGAAAGGAAGACTAAGGTACATGTTCATGCAGGGGATGATATTCAGTTAGAAATCTCAGCATGTCAAGTAGCTCATCCACTCCTTTCAGTCTCCTCAGCATGTCCCTGCACTCTGTGCTCCACCAGGCCTGCCTTGCTGTGTGTGGCAGAGAGCCAGATCGCAGCTGCAATCAGATCAGAGCTGGGAATACCTCCTGGAATAGCTGGTGCAGCACAGAGGAACATGAGCAATTTCCCACAGAGCCATTACAAGTCTGGAAAGCTTAGCACTCCACATGCTGTGCCTGACAAACGAGGCTTCTCTGCTCTCAGGGCTAAAGTCAGCCTTAGGAGTCACACAGCAGCTTTTGCAGAGCTGCAGCAGAGGTAAGAGGCTCCCAGACAGTGTGGCACAGGGAGCTGTGGGACAGTGCAGCAGTGCCCACGTGGGGCTCTCTGGATGCTGACAATTCCTGCCAGGCACAGCATTGTTCTGGATAGAGGCTTCACACCTGTGGCTGAGTTATAACTTCAATTCCCCTCTCAGCTACTCATGAAAGCACACAACACTGCTGGGAGGCATCAGCTTACTTGTGAGGAAGACTATGTAGCTCCATGGGACGTTTCTGGAGAAGAAATTCCCTCCTGCAAGACACAAGAACAGCTTTCTTTAGCCTTCCCTTTCTTCAACCCCTCAGCATCCACAGGCAAGAAACAAGCTGTGATGTTTCCTACCTTGCAGCATAAAGGTTTCAACAAGAATCCAAATTCCATTCACAGCCACCACAGTATCTGGAAAACAAAGTAAAAACCCATAATAAAACCACTTCTGGGTCAGAGGACATCCATTTCTCTGGAAAACTAAAAGGTACAGTACAGGATAAGTGGCAATGTCATTTGTTCCAATTCAATAAACTAACTGAACTTATCAATTGGAAGAGACTTCCACCCTGACTTTTCCCAGGCCTTCAACAGATGCAGTGCCTTTATCTTAGGAGGAAACAAAACACTAGTCTGAATAATGATCAATCATTTTTAATCATAATTATCTTATATTCTGCCACGTTATTAGCTGTGTATTTCAGCTTCCTCCTAGTTCTGGAACAAGATCTTGAGATCAGCTGGGTCTCCAACAGTGCAGGACAAAAGGCTTTTCCACTTGGATCTATCACTGCTCCCCAGCATTGAAATCTGAAGGTGCTCCAGGACTTCATTTCCCTCAGATATCCTCCCTCCACCTCACCCTCTTCAGTGTAGCATCTCAGTTTGCAAAAAGACTTCTCCAACATTCAAAAAACCCCAAATTACTGAGTAGGAGATCATTTAGAGCACAGCAGGTAGCACCACAAGGAAGCACTCTTTCTCCTCTGGAGAACAGGAGCACAGACTCATTCTCACAGGCAGTACAGTTGCCAAGCAATCCCTCCAGCAGCGAGGACGCTTGCACCTCCCTGAGTGCAAACAGAATGTGGTTGACTAGCAAGGCAGTTCCTCACCCAACATCCTTCAGCTGCAAGATAAAAACCCCAAGGCTTGGGAGATATGAGCATTAACCTACCTAAATACAACAGGCTGACTCCTACAGCACCAGACCCACAGATGTGTTGGTTAGTGAACCAGGGAGACTCTTCAGAGCAAGAGCTGAGTCCAGGCTGTGGCAGTGGTTGGTATAAGCAAGCAGTTCCCTCCATCTCCAGCAAACTCCAGAATTTGTACATGAGCCTCAGCCCACAGCCCAGGCCCCACCACACCAAGTCTTTGGAGGGCTGGCAGACACAGCATGCCAGAGCCATGTGAACAGAGACAGCTCATTACTTGTACTTACACATAGTGTACTGGAACACACGGGACTTCACAAGGATGTTGATGCCTGCATGAAGGAAAGTACGGCAAAACAAATGTTTACATGATCCTCCATACACAGATTCCTCTATCTTCTCCCTAGAGGCATTTTTCATACCAATCCTCAGCACAGAAGCTAAACAGATTGGCAGATAATTAGTTTTTACTTCTTGGGACCAAGTTCATATATCCTTTAGACTTTAGCTGCAATGAATTCACTATCCTTAACCCCTGAAGTGCGTTTTGTTGTTTCTGTATACTTGTTCTGGGGTGTGGATGGAGGCAAATACAGCTGCTGAAGCACTGTCCATGATATGTTGTCTAGGAGGGTTGGGAGCATCAGCAGAGCTGTGCAGGGGTCCTGTGGCAGCTGTGTGCTTGGATCAAGATAGTGTTAGCTGTTCCCCGTGAGCACACAACACCTCAAAAGAACTGAAGTAAATTCTTGAATTCTGAATGGCTACATTCAGTCAAGAAACTTAGGACATGAGAGCTAAATCACACTGGCAATCAGGTTACACTGATGGGTGTTTCGGACCTTTTCCCCTTCCCAAGGACCTGTACAGGTGCTGCAACCACATCTTAGGACCAGGAAGCCTAACAGCTTTTGTGAAAACTCCACAATCACTGCTGTATGGGATACAAAGAAACTCTAGAAACTCTTCTGGATTCAGCAATCATAAATCCCCACCCAACCTCTGTGCTGAAAAAGGAATACAGCCCTCCAAGACCTCAGGGGCTGGTTCACTACACAGCTTCTGCCAAGAAGTCTCTTACTTCCAGGAAGCCAGGGTTTGGGTGTGAGCACAGGGAATATTTACATGGCAGAAATCTTCTCTGGAGACTCTGAATACAAGGCTCTGGCCTTGGAGGCTCCGAATGCACACAGAGTTGGTTAGTAGGCCTTCCCCCTCAACTGGTTACCAGGGACATAAGAGAAAGTCCCGTCACAGTGCCCTGTCTTTGTAACGAAATGTTCTTCCTGTTAGCTGAGCACATGCTGTCATGAAAACACAGCCTGTTACCTTTAAAAATAAGGAATGCTGTCCGTGGAAGGTCATCAAACCAGTGCTCACGGTTTCGTTTTGCCTGGAAGCAGAACAGCCACAATCAGCAGCAGTTCAGTGCTACATCCATACAAAGAAAAGGGCAGGGATGGAGACCCACCTAATCCTCATCATCTGCCTCTTTCAGATTGCCTTTGTTTCTTACCCAGCTTGTTCTAACCACTGGCCTCCTTTGCTCTCCCTCCCATACACACTTCCCCTCTCCTCCACCCAGTAAGACTTACCTTCCATTTTAAGCCAACAACTTCATAGAAATTGTAAAATTCCTTTAGACTGAAAAACAGAAAGAAACATCTCATCAGAGCCTTGGAGTTGACTCAATCCTTAATTGTCCTTGTCAGGTATCACCAGTAGGGAGTTCCTGGAAGTTATTAACTCCTTATTAGAACTGCAGCCACAGCTGACAGAACTCAACACTGACCTCTTCCCAGTCTGTCCAAAGGTTCCTGACTGACAATAGCCAGAATCTGCTTTCTGTAATGCTTCAGCCCTTAGAGAAAACTCAAGACTCTACAGAACTCCATAATTTTATCACTAAGAGGAAAGACCTGAGGTTTAGATGCCAACTCCAAGGGACAGAGATTGCACTACTCTTCTTGAAGAAATCTTGGACTGTCTTAATTACTTGTATAGTCCTTGTCTAACATCTTTGTACATTTTCTTTTCAAGGTAACAATGAAGTTTGAAAAGGACATGAAAGCAAAGAAACTCATGGAACATGAGTGCCTGTCTAGGTGCTTGGGGTCAGGTCTGTAACAGCTTTTAGGTGTCTGAAAGTGAGGATGCTGAACTTCTCAGATTCTTACTGGTTTCATTAGGTGCCTAAATTTGAGAACTCAGTCTTTCTCCCATGCCATTTTCAATACATCTCTCTGACACTTGACTTTAAGGAGAAGCATTGGCACCAGTTTCATGGAGGACTCACTCTGAGCCTGTCTGTGGCCAGAACAAAGAAAAAGAAAAGAAGGTCTCCTGCTCTAATTCCCTCTGCTTCCTTCTTGGCTGGAGTTAGCTGCACCCACCCAACAGAATGGCAATTCTCTGCCTCATAACACAGAGGATGGCAGTCCTGAAAGCACCAGCAGAACCAGATTTTAATTAACAAAACCCTGGGGGGGGACAGCCAGCTGCTGGAGAAAAGCAAAACTTGTTAAGCTGCGAGGCTGCGCTGTGTGCTGAAACGCTCCTCACAGGCTGCTGTTCCCCAATTTCTGGGTCCTCTTCTGGCAGGGGAGTGGGAAGCAGATCCTGCCTGCAAGTGCCAGCACAGCGCTGTATCCACAAGAGGGCACGCACGAACCCCATCACCTCCGAAGGAAAACCTCAGCTCTCAGAGTACACACCCCTCCAAGCTCACTGCTTCCCAGAACAAATCCTTTCAATGGCAGAGCTCTATTCCCACATCCCAGATAACATTCATACCATAAACCCAGCCATCCTCTCTGAAGCACAGCCCAGCTTCACGGATTGGAGCAACCTCCCTGCTCTGGGTGCAGCTGGAGCACCATCCTACCTGACTAAAGGAGTATTGCTCTGATTCAGTGCTTTGAAGGTGAGATATCTCTCCCTGGCACACATCCGGGGCTTGTAGAACCGCAGCAGCCCTTCGAAGTGCTTGAAGGAAATTCCAGACGGCCTCTAGAAACAAAGGAGTGTTGGCATGAGCAGTGACATCAGGCAGGAACACACAGAGGCTAGGGCATTTAATTCTCACTCTGGATTTGTTTGAAGCAGGATTTCCTACATTATAACTGAGCCCCCAAAGTACCCTAAGCTATTACTTTAACCTACCAAACTTATCCCAGGGCACAGAGATCAGAAAGCTCTCCTGGCAATCAGTCCTTCCAGCAAATGCAGAACTGTTCCCTGTTGCACCATCACCTAAGAATTGTCCTAGGAGACACCCCAAGCAGAGTTCTATCCACCTTCTTGGGAAATTAGCAGACAGCCTAACAGATCCCACTATGGCACTTTTTAAAGACTTATCAGCTATGTGCACTAAACACCAACCAATCTACTAGAAGTGGGTTAGTTATTTTTGGGCCTTATTTCTCTTGCTGCTCCACAAGTTAAGCAAGTAATCAACCTTCTCCCCTAACTGCTTGTCCCTGTAAAACTTGTTTGTAGAATCACAGAATCATCAAGGTTAGAAGAGACCTTTAAGATCAAGTCAACTGTCCACTCAGCACTACCACTGTAACCCCTAAACCACTAAACCATATTTGCAGGTGAATTACTTCTGTTTCTGTACCATTTACTTGTGTAGAATCTAGTACTGTACCATATCTTCACTTGTATGACCCACCCCTTCTCTCAGTACTGGTGCTTAAGAAGCAAGTCCTGAAGTGGCCCAGATTGAATCAGCGAGAAATCAACCACCACATGCACTCCAGAACAAATTTCCCTTATTATATCAAGCCACCTCCATGACCTCACATGGGGCTGAAATTCCAAGTACTCTGGTTTTTCTCTGGAAACAGATATGAACAAGTTACATGAATTAAAAACCCAGCAGCTCCTGGTGAGTGTGATCAGAGTGAACAGATATAAATCACCTTTTTTGGAACAAGCCCTTTAAACCTTGCAGCCCAGGGGTGCTGTGAGTGGTACCTGCTTGGTGACCAGCAGGCGATACGCGTGCTGGATGGCCGTGCGCTTGTGCAGCAGCAGCGACTTAAACTTCCTCTTCTCGATGTCATTGAAGGTGTCAAACACAACAGCAAGAAGCTGAGAGACGAGACAGGAGAGAAAGTTGTGGTTTGAGTCTTATACTCTGTAGATACCTGAGCAAAAGCTTCCCAAACAGGCAGCATCATAGAATGTCATGGGGTTGGGATGGAGCTTAGAGATCATCCAGCCCCAACCCCCTGCCCTGGGCAGGGACACCTCCCACCAGATCAGGTTGCTCAAGGCTTTAGCCAACCTGGCTTTGAACACTGCCAGGGTTGGGGTAGCCACAGCCTCCCTGGGCAACCTGTGCCAGTGTCTCACCACCCTCACAGGAAAAGATTCCTTCCTAATATTTAAACTAAATTATGGAGCTTAGAGATCATCCAGCCCCAACCCCCTGCCCTGGGCAGGGACACCTCCCACCAGATCAGGTTGCTCAAGGCTTTAGCCAACCTGGCTTTGAACACTGCCAGGGTTGGGGTAGCCACAGCCTCCCTGGGCAACCTGTGCCAGTGTCTCACCACCCTCACAGGAAAAGATTCCTTCCTAATATTTAAACTAAATTACCCTCTTGCAATCCCATTACTCTACTCCTTGTCGTATCACTCCAGTTCCTAACAAAGAGTCCCTCTGCAGCTTCCCTGGAACCCCTTCAGATCCTGGCAGGTTGCTATGAGATTTCCACACAACCTTCTCTTCTCTAGGAACCCCCCATCTCAGGAGGCAATGAGAGGCATTGTTTTTCACTGACTGAGGCAGAACGGAGTCAGCAAGGGCCTGTTGGTGTAAGGGATCCCACAAAGGGATCCCCAAGCCCATTGCACACACACTGATCCACCTTTTGGAGGAGGTCCAGATATTTCTGGCCTCCCAGCACTCACCAGTGGGTTTGAAGAGCTAAGGCTAAACCACACACATGCCAACAGACAACAGTATCAGAAGGTTTATTAAAAGCATCCTGATCTGTTTCTGGAAAGCAGATTCTGAGGGCTACTCTCTGCACTCACCCTTCCACTGGAGCTTTGGCTAACACATGTCTAAGCTAATCCTCCTCATCTAGGACAGAAGCAGTGAAATCCAAGCTCATCACAAGCATTGAATCACTCACCTTGGGTTCCAGAATTCCTCAACTCCTTTGGCAAGCCCTTTTCCACCACCCACACCCTCTCCTGAGTTGGCCTTGGCCCTGCCCTAGGTGCTGCAAGAAGCAGAGCCAGCACAGCAGCTGTGCTCACACACTGCAGTGATCAGCACTCAACTCCTGCCACACTGAGTAATTCCATCCTCTTCAAACTGATTTACAAAGTATTTCAGGCAAGCCCAGATAATAAAATGCCATTTTATGATAAATAATTAAGACAGAGAAGGACAATAAATTTCATGCAACTGAGTATGTCACTCCAAGCACGATATTAATGTGAGAGAAGTGGAAAGATGCTCTTATCATTTGGTTTGCTGTGATTTAGTTCAATCCCTCATGGTTAAACATTAAAGAGGCCTATCTGTAGCAAAGCTGCCATTTCTATTCTGCCAAAGGGTCTGAGATTATTACAGAGCAGTTTGGGGAATGGGGCAGACTCTGTTGGGAAATGAGCTCCAAATTCAGGCATAGAGAAGTCAAGTGCTTTGCTGGGGACTCACCAAGTTCATGATGAAGTACAGTTCAATGGAGAGATACACAATGAAGAAGACACAGGACCAGGGGTTCCGGGCATAAGATGGCATCATCACATCAGGGAAACTGCAGCCAAAAGGACATAGGTTTAAGCACCAAAGAGCTCATGTTACACTTCCCACCCCATAGGCAAGAGGCACTGGTGTGTGTCTATAAACTCCCATCCCAAGATCTGCACATTTCTGCAAAATGTGGTTGCTGATGACACAGAACTCTGTGCCCACCAATGAGCAGCAACAACATGGAGGTATGCTGAAAATCATAAATATGGAAAGCACATTCCTTGCACATCCCAAATACCAAACAGGATTTGTGGCTAAGGGTTGTGCTTTGATACTTAGCAACAGCAGCAGTACAGCCTCAGTGTTAAGTGTTGCCACCTCAGATTTATTCCATCCTTTACTGATTTCCTAATCCTTAGAGCTCTCCCTGACAGCAGATCAATATTTACCCTCTGTTGTTACCCCAGTTTCCTAACAGATAGGTGAACTGAAGAACAGGAATAAGAAGTTACTTCATAATAGCAAACTGCTGGCTGACAAAGGAGCACAAATAGAAACTTTCCCTTCCTGGACCAGGGCCTAATGAAGCTGTTTCCCCCCTTATTGCCCTCTCAGTGATGAAGCAGTCTGAGTCTTTAGAGATAACTCTGCAGCTGAGGTCACAGTGCCCTAACGCAAAATGAAATACCACTTCTTCCCATGCAGGCTGACTCTGAAAATCTCTCTCTCATGCAGAGAAAAGGGGTTACACTTGGAAACAGAGCATTCCTCCAGATAAACTCTTGGCTCTGCCAGACTTTGGGTCAAAGGGAAAGACTGAGCTAGAAGAGCATGAACTTACTTTGAAGTGGTCAAAAGCACGAAGAGATTCACAAGGCTGTTCTCCAAGGTGTTGAAGTACTGAAAGAAAAAACTCCCATGACAAAACTCAAGCAGAATTTCATAGGGACATTTGATTCAAAAACCAACCCATCCACCTGCTTGGATACAGGCCCTTCTACAGTTCCCCGATTCCCTCCCTAGGGAAAGGTACTTCAGCACTGGTTGTTTCTAAAGCTCCCTGAGAGATGGCATGTGAAGGGTTAAAACAAAAGCTCATCTACACACTGTGGTAGTAGTCACTCCCAGCAAGCCACAGACTGGGGAGCAGAAGGAACTCTGGCTGCTGGACATGACTGTGGCCATGGAAGCAGCTGAGCTTTCATCCAGACACCTTCCTCCCACGGAGACAGTGGCAGGTGGCTCACTTGACTGGATTAAGACATCAAGAACAAGGAACAACTCTGTGAGTGTTCCCTTTGGGACACCCTGTCTCTGAGGAAGCTCCCTGCAGAGCCTTCCTTACCAGTAGAGGATAAAGCAGGGTGACACTGCCAGGCAGCCTTGGACCAGGTGGCATTTGGCCTCCTGAGCATCAGACAGAACAAACTATGTCTACACTGTAATGTTTGAGTCTCAACGATGCCAAATGGGACTAGAGCTGCAGCTGAAGAAACCAGGATACTCACCGGATCCGAGTGGTTAGGAGAAAACAAATAAAAACCTAGAGAAGCAGCACAGAAGGGAGAGGAGGAGAGAAAGGAGAAAGGGGGAGAGAACAAACAAAAATAGTCTGTTTAATGTCAAGCCATAGAATAGCAAGTCTCAGTTTCCAAAGAGAAGGTCACACTAAGTCCTCTTTGACACCATGAAGACAAGAGCATCTGGAAGGCCTTCTCCATAGAGATTTGCCAAGAGATGTATTGGCATTTCACTGATCCTTTAGAAAACAAACTTTCAGGGGATGGTTTGGACTGCAGCAGGTACACTGCAGACATGTGCATTTGTGGGGGTGTAGACTAAACTGACAAGATTGAAGAACAGTTGATGGAAGGAGAACTTGAAAACACACAATACTGACTGTGCTCTGGTAGAGGTCAAAAGGACCTCTGTCTCAAAAACACAGTTTCCAGATTTTTTGGATCTTTAACTATGCCTTCCAGATGACTGCGGATGAAATGGGATAAATGGAAGATCCTGGCAAGACTCTGAATCTGATCAGCTTTCTATTTCTCCAGGCTGTTAGTGTTGGTTTTGGACAATAACTGGTTAAGAACATCACTTCACCTTCCATAAATACAACTTACCAAGGATAGCAAAAATCACCATGAAGAAAAGCAGGAGGAGAAGAATGTCAATAAATGGTGGGAGGGACTGGAAGATCTGCCGCAGATTTCTGAAAAACAAGAAAACATTAATAAACTAGAAGTTGCACATTTACTCCTCCAGGTTGTCAGGGGAAAAAAACCTCAACCGTCACCACACTATACTTGAAGGCCTTCTTCCCACTCCCTCCAAGGATTAAAAGTAGAAAGCTTACTAAATTCAGATGGTTTCCAAGCTACCCATCTGTCCTTTGCAGTCAGCTCTCAGGTACTGCAAACAATACTGATGTCACCCTGTCAACTCTGCTTCTCCAGACTAAAGACTTTGCTCTGTGATTCACTGTGCAGTTCACAGGCAAACCAAGGAGCAGAGACAATGCAGCCACATGCACGTGTTGGGCTCTCTGAGGTGGTTTATATAGCCACCCAAGCACTGTGTGAGCACATCCAGAGCACCACAACGGGTACACTTCAGACACAGTGAAAAGATCTCCATGCTCTGAAATGCCCATGTGAAAGACACTGATTTTCCTGGGATGCCTTGCAGGATCAGAGTGCTTTTCATCCAGCCCAGCCCCAGGCATGACAGCAGAACACCCAGCCAGCTGAGCATCACCTTCTGACAGCCCCACAGTAGCGGCAGTCCACCAGGAAGATGCAGCGCAGGGCCCTGGTGATCCGGACGTGCGAGGTCTGGCGCACCAACACCACGATGGCCTCTATGAACTGCACAAACAGCACACAAGTCTGCAAGAGAGGGGTGTAATGAGAGGCACAGCTGCAGTCTCCTTTTGGGAAAGGCAAAGCTCTGACTGACCACCTGTTTATTTGGACACTCTAAGGATGGGAGGTGTCCCTGAGAGATCTCACATGAATCATTTGGCAGCTGGGATACACGGCTATGTCATCTCTGCTGCAGTGCAGGCCAATTCTGACTCTGGTTCTTTGGTTCTTGAAGGAGAGGCATTTACAATCCAACAGACAACTTACCTTTACCATAGTCCTTTTGTGCCTGATGAAGGTATGGAAGCCCAGCCACCTCATCTTCATCGAGAGCTCAAAGACGACCACGATTAACGCGAAGAGCTCCAGGGTTGCATGGACCTGGCACAACACAGGTTTGATTACAAACAGCAGCACAGCAGAGGCCACACTTCTGTCCCTCCTTTTACATGAAGCAGGTGAGTTTGACAATAGCCAAAGGGCCCCTTCTCCGCTGGAAGATGTAAAACACATCACAAAGAAGATGACAGTATTTTCTTAAAACATCAGCTTTAGTGACGACTTAAAACCCAAACTGAGTTGTGCATCCTCATTTTGAGGAGCACTTTGACCCCAGGGTTGTCAGGGCCATTCCAGATCCCTGGAATAGTCTTAGGGTACCACCAACAGCTTCACAAGCAGCTGCAGATTCTCTCATAAGCAACAGCAGCTCTTCACACTGTGCCTGACAGCAGAACCTCATGAAGTGGCTGTGAACTGACAACAGTGCACACCACCTTGTGTAACCCTTCTCTCAACCTCACTTTGTGAAGGTTGGACATAAAACTCCATGTTATTCACACACTCATTAAAGAATCCTCACAACACTGGGAGGAGAGGACAGGAGAAGGTTTAGCAGCCTGTCCCAGGCTGAGATCTGTGTTCCAGGAACCAGTGGTGGTGCTGAGGTAATGGTACCAACCCTGAAAATGACTTTAAAACACCCTGTCAAAGCACACATTACTCAGTTATCTCAAGGAAAACCACACACTTCTGTCACAAAATTTAAGAACTGCACAAATTGATAATATGAAATAAGTGTCACTTTTGCTGTGGTCTGTGCAGATCAGATAGAAAAAGGAAGTTTTGCTGGTTGGCCTATCTGCTGACAAGGCAATCGCAGGACAAGCCAGGTGGGTTTATTCCTCTTACTGCCCCCTCCTTCCTTTCTCTGATAAGCCTTCTTTTTCCTCTTACCCACGCTGCAAAGCAAACACTTCTTCATTTTGCCCCAAAGTACTTACAAAGATGCCCAGGCGGAGCATAGGAACCGCTGGTGCCTCGCAGAGAGACAGCAACAGGAGCAGCAGTGCTGTGCTCAGCTCCATTAGGTAGAAAAGGTGGTTGTGTGCAAAGAGGTAGGCAGCGAGTGCTTTGGCATTTTTGGGGTGAGTGAAGAACTTATCATTATTTTCTCCTTCCTAGGGCAGAAGGAATAAAGAAGAGAAGAGCATTAGTGACTCTCAGCACTATAACAGTTTCCACATGAAGAACACAGAGTTTTATAAGGATTAGATATGATTCCCAACAGACTATTCCCACTTAGAGCCTGCTGTTGATCTGTTTATTGAGGAATGAACTCTACACACAGGGGACATCCCCTTCTGTTGATAAGCATATCTCAGTAATGAAACTTATTAATATCCACAAACCCCTGCTTCAGACACCCTTGAGCCCTTTCACCATGAGGAAGAGAGCTGGAAGAGTTTATAAAGGCAGGCAGAGAAACTTTAGTCAACATCCCAACATAGACATAGTACTTCATTTACTTGCAACTGCTTCCACATGTTTACAGACTTATTTGATTAAACTTCTCCAGGACAGAACACCAAAACATCCAGATAAGCTCCAGGGCACCTGGCTGACAGTTGCTCCTCCTTATCTTGGCTTTGTAAAATGTCCTGGGAGAAAACACTGGAGTACACACAGTGTTTCCTGCTTCAGGAATGTGAGACAGACTCCATAAAAAATTAACAAGTCTCTATGCTGATTTGTCATTCCCTCTTAACTAGAAAGCTTAATTAACATTAAAAGGTCAGATACTCCATCTTAACATTTTGCCTACAACTGATTTTTAAACAGGTACATTGTCACAATTTTTACCTCTAGGATGAAACTTAGTTTGGGGAGAATTTAGAGGGTTTTCATGCAAAACCACCCAACAGCTTCTTCTCTTTCTCGAGGCAATGGTTTTAGCAACTCACAGGAAACTTGCTGCCTCTTGGGAACCATCACAAGAGATCGTTTTTCCCCAGCTGGGACACACAGATGCAGAAGAAGTAGTAGGTTTGTTTTTAAATTAACATCTTTCCAGGCAAGCAATTACTGTAAGGACAGTCAGCTATTACTATCAAAGCAGAATAACTGATTGCAAATGGATAATGAGGTCAGGAAACTCTCCTTTAGGAAGTGAAGTATTCTCCAGACTCATTCAGGAGAGGGTTTCAAACGTTTCTCATTTACCCCAGCTCACATTGTGCTTCAGAACAAACACTGCTGGGTCAGTGAGGCAGATTGTGAGTGGGACAGAACCCAGCAGTGAGCTCCATCGACCGCCAGCCCCCCCAAGCGAGCCCAGGCTGGGACCAGCAGGGCACTCGCATTCACGCCTGGCAAAACACACTTGCAGAATGAAAAATAGTCTAAATCCTGCCTCTTGGTAGCCAAGCAATTCCAAACGTGGCTGGACAGCAAAGCCCTCTTATCCAGACACAGCACTTGCCTGCAGCTACTGCTCACATGAACACTCTGCAGGCCCTTTAAGTGATTCAGCTTCGTTTCAAGGACAGTGTTATTGTGGCCACTGGTCAAGGCAGCAGCAAGAACAATCTGCATCTGAAGGGCCAGGCCTGCTGTGTCCATTACCATCAGAGCTGCAGCAGCCCAATGACCCTTTGCAGAGCTGCTCCAATAATCAGGAGTTTAAACAAAAGCCTATGAGGGGCTGGAGACACCATTCTATTGCCAGGGCTGCTCCAGCCTACCACAAAGCTCCAGTATTGCCAAGGTTCAAGCTCACAGAGTTTAAAATATCTGAGAAGTGAGATTTCTCAGTCCTGTGGGGTCAGAGCCGGGAGGAACAAATGGTTTCTCTCATCTTGCAAAAAAACCTCTCACTCATTAAGCAAAAAACCTAACTGGGTCCAAAGCACCTCAAGCTGCCACATAGAGCTCTGAAAGGGAACAATGAGGAGGAAGGACAGACAGTAAGGGAACCAGCAACCTTTTCAGACTGGACAGCTCTGGGAGAAGCTCAGTTTTGGTGGCTAATTCACCACGTCAAACTGTACAGTGATCTGAAAAACTTGATCCCTTTGTTGAAGTAAGGATGGTGTTTCCTGTAACTGGAGCATGGTTGGGGTTTGCTTGTTTGCTGTTTTTTTCCGTTTTGAATCCTATACATTTCACTCCTGGGCTGATCCCAATCCCAAGATGCTTTCTTCCTGTAGAAATCAAGACCTCTATCTTCTCTTGCACCTTATATGACCTGCAGGGCTTGACTGATGCTAAACAAACATCCCAGGACCTGCATTTCCAAAACATGAGATGTCCCCAGGAGAGCAGTAACCATTCACCCTGGAGCGACTAAGAGATGAAATGATCATAGGATCATAGAAGTTTAGGGGTTGGAATGAACCTTACAGATCATCTAGTGCCAACCCCCTGCCATGGGCAGAGACACCTCTCCACTAGACCAGAATGTTCAAGGTCTCATCCAGGCTAACTTTGAACACTGCCATTTATGACCAGCTACAGAATTCTCCACGGCAAGATGACAGAACTGAACATATGCTGAATCCCTCAACCACTGCAGTCCTTGACACTGGGAGAGATGGGAAGCTTGTTCAGTTGCTCCCAAATGACTTCCCAGAGCCCATCTGGAGGTGCCTTCAACATCGCCCCACTCTTCAAACAGAATCCTTTGCAAAGCACACAGTTTTTAACCTCAAAATGGAAGCTCTTTGAACCAAGAACCACCACAGTTCCTGCAGTCCATTTTCCACACAATGCAGCAGGCAGCAGGGCTCACCTGGAGGTAGATGGCTGCCTCTTGGTAGTTCATTTCCCAGTTGTGCCGGGCAGAGCTCTGAGCACAGCAGTCCCCTGCCGCGGGGCTGGATGCATCATTGACAACGTCATAGCTGCCTCCATCTGCATCAGGACAGGGAGAGAAACACGGATTCACAATCAGGACAGCTGACATTGATCAGGAGGCACACAAACAAGCCAGGCACTGGGATCAGAGACAGGCATCAGGAAGGGGCAGAGTACCCAGGAACTGGCAGCTTGTACACAGACAAATTGATTCTTCCCAGGTAGGAGTTTTTAAGAGACACTCAAACTCAGCACTTCAGCACAGGAATGCTCCCAGAAGAACATCAAAACAGACAGCATCCTATTTAATACAGTAAGCAGGTCTCCTGACTCAGGAGATCTGTGCTGTCATGCTTGTAGCATGCTATCAGCAGTCATAAACTACAACCAGGCAGCTAACAGCCACCAGTCTCCCAGGATGTCCAACCCACAAAGTCAAAGAGGGCTTGCTGAAGGAGCACTGTCTTTACACACTTCATGGTAGGAGAAATCACAAAAGAACAGAGCACAGGACTACCACTGGCAAGGGAAACCAGTGTGTACCAAAGCTGTCAGTACTTTTAGTAGAAAGCCTCATGTTTTAGAGCTCTTCAGAGCCATCAAACAACACATCTTCACAACACTCTTAGATGCTGATAAGTACCAACATCTCTCTGATGCAAACAAACAACAATATTAATTTTCTGTTCACATCCCACAGATTAATTTTGGAACTTCTTAGACTGTGTCCTCATCAGCAAAGCACTATAGAGCAATGCTTTACTGAACACTTGAACCAGATTCTGTAAGTAAAGATTTCATTTAAAAACATACAATTCAATTGCAAAAAAGCAACTCCCAAGCAGAGCTACACATACACAGTGCCCTTCCTATGGGAAAGTTACACAGGGTACATATAAACTCCAAAATAATTGCCATTTTTGCATTCTGCAGCTTCAGTGCTATAAGACACATTAAAAACATGTACGAAAACAATTACTGTTCAAAAAAGGAATGGCACTTGGTTTTTCCTTTTGGGACTGGGGTATTTATTATGTACCATTGACAAAGAATACTGAGCAGTGAGACTTGCTTAGGGCCATGCATGAAACCCGTGGTGGAGTTGGCCACACACTCAGTTCTCCAGAGCTTCAGTCATTACCCACACCACATGCTTGTTCTTTTTCTCAGTAGACTTCCCTCCTCCAGTGCCTCATGTTCCCAAAGTGGGTACATGTAAAATTGATCTTGCCAGCACAGAAGTGATGCTTTTCCCCTTTTTAGGAGCACAGAAGCTGTGGTGTGGCAGCTTGTTCTCTCTGTGTTAGAAGTTGTTATCTGAGAGTGGGAAAAAAATTACCATGAGGTTCTTTTCCCCTCTCATGACAGCCTGCTGAAGATTTGCTGTGACAAAATAAACCTCATTGAATTACTGATTCAGTCTTTCTTGAACACCCTCTGGAGTGGAGAAAGAGTCCATGCCAAAAACTCTGCGCCCACCAAGAGAAATGGCACCATGTGCTTCTGGCAGTGAGACAGGGAGTGGGAAGAAATCAGAACCCCTTCACCAATGCAGAGCCACAGCTGCCTCTTCCACCCTCAAATCAAATTAAGATAACATTTCTCTGGGATCTGTGAAGACTTTCCAGATTGCACACTCAGATTGCTGAGCATCCTGCAGCATGAAGCCTGTTTCTCTTCCTTGCTTCCCCCATACCCTTAAAATACCACTCAAAACCTGGACAAATGTTTGAATGAGGCAGATTCCTCCCCCACACCCCTTGATTTAGCACAGCCCTTGAGAAAACTGAATGATGGAGTTTTTATTTATCCACAGAACTAGAATGGCAGTCTTCTGGTTTGTCTGCTTTTTAACCAAGAGATGACAGCAACATGCAAAAATCAGAAGCGTTATATTAAGAGCTCTAAAAAGTTCTTAAATGTTCTTATTTATAAAGCTTTTGCTGTGGTTGATTTCAAAAACAGACACCCCCAAACTGCAGCCTGAGAGCAAAACCTTTCTGCATTTAATGCCTAACAGCCTTACAGAAAGAGCACATCTTCATCAGAACCTGGACTTGACATTACAATGCACACAAAACTTAAGAGCATCAAAACACACAGAGGTCCAACCAGCAAAAGTTTGTAGCATTCACGCAAACATCAACACACTGTACCCTGACAAAAGGTGACAAAAATCCCTTTAACCCTGAAGTAGTTCTTTTGCAAAAATCAACTGCTCTGAAAAGTACCAACGCTAGGAAAAGACACATCACAGCAAAAACCCAGGACCAGGACCAGGACCCTCCCCTGTGCTTCCCACAGAGGGTTTACAGCTGAAACAGAAGAGATGTCCCAGTGAGACCAAGGTTGCCAATACAAAACCGCACTCAGGGATGCAAATCAGAAACAAAAAAATAACTCTAGAAATCAAGATGTTTTCCTGCTGTCTAAACCAGGCATCATCTTTCCAGGCACAGACAACAGAAAATGTTCTGGTGAAGTGTTCCGGTGGGGAGCAGCATTTTATGCATCAGCTCCTTCCCCATCAGGTACCAGAAGGTTGATCTAGCATCCCTGAGGCAATGGCATCATCTGGGTAATAAATAATAATAAAAATAATAATAAATTTGAAGAGCAACCCTCTGACTGTTTGCTTGGCAGCCCTCCAGCAAGCTAATTTCCTCAGCTGCTCCCATGATAACAATGACACAGACTAATGCAACCTCCACTCCGCTCGTGCTGCACAACATCCCCGACGGCGTTTACCATCAGTATGGAGCTCAATGAGATAGGAGGATCTCTCCACAGGGCTCCCGGAATCCTCCAAGTAGATGGCAGGCAGCTCTCTCCACTGCATGGCAGCTGCTGCATCGGGAAGCAGCGAGGCGCTGGGAGTTGGGGAGAGGGAGCCCAGGCAGATCCGAAGTTCCTCCCTCCCTCCCCGCAGAAAGCCGATCCTTGATTTCGCAGCTTCCTCAAGGGAAAGCCACGCACAAAAGATTCTCCTGTGCTCGCTGCAGAACTGAGCGTTTTCTCCCCTCCCCTCTGAGGAAGGTGGCTCAGACCTCAGCGAAATCGTTTCCCTCTCACTGTCTGAGCCACAGAGTGTTTCCAAGTGCAAGTTTTTGGAAGGCTTAGCTGCGGGACAAAGAGCTTTCCGGCACGAGCGTGGCGGTACAGCAAAGCATCATGTGCTGTGCTGCTCTCATTTTGGCATTTAGCAGAACTTGCTCACCAGCAAACACGAACAGCTAATGGGAAAGGAGTCAAAAGTGCTGAGCAGTCCCAGCAAGGAATCTCCAGCACAAAAAAGAAACAGATATTTGTGAAGTTCACAGTACAAGGGGCACGACAACGGAAACGAACGGAGCTGTTCACAGATGGCAAAGCTTCCTTCCACACTTGTGTAACTTATCCCAGACGTTCCCTGAAAAGAGAGAGAGGGAGGGAGGGAAAAAAAAAAGAAAAGAGGGGAAAAAAGGAAAAGCAAAACCAGCTGGCTGCTTACACAAGGCATCCGGAACGAGACTGCCGGGACTCCAGCATTTCCATTCAGTGCAGCGGAGCATGCTCCTGTGTAAATAGTTTCCATATGTCATCATTACAATAAAAAACAAAAAAACAAGGAAGAAAGAGAAGGAGCATAAACTTTCCAGAGCCCAAACCTCTCCCTTTGCAAAACAAATTACCTGCTTAGGGCAAGGAAAAACTCTCCATGGGCTGAGAGAGCAAACAAACTCCTCTCGTTTGGAGGAGCTCACGACCGCGAGGGATCTCGAGGGTAGCACCAAGAGGGGAATAAGGAACAGAAAATATCCACAGGAATCATGGATAAATCACTCTTCCCAGCCAGATATTATATGTCCAACTGAAATCACTCTGGAATTCATGATATTTGGTGTCTGCACTCATTTTAATAAATAATAATTTAAAAAAATCCAACAACCTAGTAACCTCCTACAAATTCATAGTTATAAACCAACTCTACAGGGGAGCTCTTCCATTTGCCTTGGAGCTCCCCCAGTCTGGCTCTCATTAGCCTGTGTGCCAGATGTTCTGCTTTCTAGATAGCACACACTTTTTATGGCCTTACACTGAAACACACTGAGATTCTCTAATTAACAACTCGACTGACTCCAAAGCCTTTACTGGACTAACCAGGGCTTTCTCCTAAATGATTCAGGAAGGTTTGGTTGCTAGCTGCCATCCTGCCCAGATAATGCTATTTTAGCAAATACACCTGTGATGGCAGAATGCTGCAATCTGTGTGAAGGCAGGAAAAGTGACTCAAATCAGCAAAAGTATTCTCATAGCTAAATCTGTCATTCACACTGTTTATACATCACGTGTGGAGTCAGTGCAAGACAGCAACATGCACGTTATTCCCTTAATGAGTTCCATGTGTGAGCAATTCCCTTGAAAGGCAAAAAAAAAAAGAAATGCCAAGGACACACAACTTTGGAGACAGGACACATCTTCATTCATGTGGCCTTACAAGGCCCCTGCAAGTGGAGTCACCAGAGCAGCCAGAGAGGAAAGTAAGGAAGGCTTTACCTCCCACAGTCAGGAAAGGTCAGGTTGTCCATGGCACATGTTCGAGGCAGCTCCAGTAACCATCTCAGATTAGCCAGAGATGTGCCAGCTGATAGACACTCCACAGTGCACCAGGCAGAGGAGGGGAAGGACAAGGAAAGAGATGGCCCAATTGTCAGTTAATCATCGGATTCCTTCTTAATTAAATATAACCTGGCATCAACTTTGTCCTTTCTTTCCTTCTTGCAACCTTACAGGAACTGCTGTCTTGCACTTACCCCTACCTTTAGGCTCATTATTTCTTCCCTAGAAAGAGCCATGAGCCCTATTAGGGAATGCTTTGCCAGCAGTGTTTTATCACAGGAGTAATAACTTTTCCTGTCTTTTCCAGAAGCACATGCTGTCCAAGGCAAATGTGACTTCCTGGAGCTGAGCAAATGCTTCACAAGTTTTCTGGGAGAGCCCACACAGCTGTGCAACCTGACCCTACCAGCATGAGGGTCCTGCTGGCAGGCTCCAACCTCTTTGGAGCAGGGAGGACA